GGAAGGGGCAGATTTTTTTCGTCTGCGTACTTTCAGATTCTAGCGCACTCGAGCTGGTTTCTCCATTCTTACCTACCCTACCTTTAAATCTAATTTACATAAATAAAAACATTTTGAGTTATTTCGCTCTTTTCAACTCGGTTTTCTTTTTGTCTCTTCCAGGCCAACGTACGGTACACCAAAGGTCCTGGAGCGCGCCGGTCTGAGCATGAGTGACATCGACGTGTTTGAGTTCCACGAGGCATTCGCAGTAAGTTATTACAACTTTTAAATGGGAAAACTGCGTTAGCTTGTGGAGGGAAATGTCCTGTCAATCTCTAATAAAAGTAACAGATGTGCATTTCTTATCCAATTATGGATTCTGTTATTGATGAGAATCAATCAGAATGTGGGAGTAAGATTGGCCTGGTCTTTTTAGTATCATGCATTTCAATGTGTTTTCTGTCTGGTATCGTTGGTGACCCTGTGGATTTATATCTCTTTCTTTTTTTCAGGGCCAGATTATGGCAAATCTGAAGGCGATGGACTCAGATTGGTTCGGCCAGACGTACTTGGGCAGGAAATCAAAGGTAAAGATAGATGCTGATCATATGTCACATGTAAATGATATTTGTGAACTGATTAACTTTTGACAAATAGGTTATTATAAGAATATTATCAGCATTTGGTATTGGTGTAATCATATTTGAATATGGATGTACTAAAAAACGGTAAATAATATACTAAAGAAATATGTAGACCTGGTTTTGCTTATGACGTATATACATCCATTAGAAATTGGATGTTTTATATGTATAACTATGATAAAAGTACAGATTCATATAAGGCATCTAAAGCCAACTAAATATTGTCAATAATGCCGGTCAAGTGATAAATGCAAAAGTGGTCGGTATGGAAATCCTATTATTCCATTTTCAATTGTTAACAAAAAGTGTAACCTTTGCAATCATTATGTTTTTGATTCAAATGTTAAAGAAAGACATACTTTAGTCCTGACTAAATGTATTATGTGTGTGTGTGTAGGTGGGAGCTCCTCCCATGGAGAAGTTCAACCTGTGGGGGGGCTCTCTGTCTCTGGGCCATCCGTTTGGAGCCACCGGCTGCCGGCTGGTCACCACCGTGGCCCACCGGCTGCAGAGGGAGGGCGGGCAGTACGGCCTGGTGGCAGCTTGTGCTGCTGGAGGACAGGTAATTCATTAGTTTACATTGAACAACAGAATCACACAAGACACAACTGACTCATGAAGTTCTCACAATTTAAAGTGTTAAATAGTTAGAAATCACTGCCTCAGATCTTAAACTTTTAAAAATGAGGACTTCACTATTGCATGCTAGAATATGTTAGGTATTATGTAGCATTTAGTTGTATGATATCATGTTTAAATTAGATTAGACTGAATGTTATTCTCATTGTCAGAGTACAGGTACAAGCCAATAAAATGCAGTTTGAAATATAACCAGGAGTGCATGTTAGTATATATACTAATATACTATATCAATTGCAGTAAGTACTACAGCATTAATGATGCTTTAAAGTTATTATATACACAGGTAATACATATAAGTAAGTACATTTTGTATGTACAGAGTTTAGGTTGAGTTCTAGTGTGCAAAAGTAGGATGAATGTATAAACAACATGTACAGCTGGATATTTGTACAAGACGAATAGGGCGAATATCATGTACCTGAAGTACTGTTGCAGTTCAATAGTTAGTGCACTGATGCCGTTGTAATTAGAAGATAGATTTCTTCCAGATTACACGTTTTAAATGAGCAACTCTGATGTAATTATTTTTATTCTATTTCTTAGTTTTTTTCTGACAAACTTGTATTCTTTTGTTTTCTAGGGTCATGCCATGGTGATCGAGGCCTACCCCCAATAAAAGCACTTAAAACACCATCTGTGACCCGATCTACAGGTTCAACCAGATACAATCACACTCACAACAGAGTGTACATACTAAGCACCGCTTTGCCTTGAGGAGTCGGATACAGTATGTGAGTGCGTTTTAGGAATATTGTGTAAATTCAATTTTGCCTAGAGGCCGTTAAATTATAACAGAATGTTATCGAGGAATGTTGCTTATGAGTTTATGGACTTGGAGATGCGTCATATCAGCGGTGTCACTGAGTCGATTGTAACATAGAAAAAATAAAAGCACTCAGAGGTACAGTGACCCTAATGTTTATATAGCTGTCATATTTTTTTCTTACAAACTGTTGGAAATAAAGGATGTTCTGAAACTCATTTCTTGGCCTATTGTTGTTATTTTTCACTAGCCTGAAAAAGGCTTTTCTTGACAGCTTTCCAAAGCTTATTCCAAATTTAGATAACAATTAATACCTTTGACTAAAAAAGCTACAACATTTCAGTTAAATAAGCATCTGCTTCGTCACTTTGTGGGTCTAGTTTGATCAGACTTGGACATTTTACCCAACAACTTTTATGTTTTGATGCAACAGCCCTTTTTTTCCAAATGAGATCCACCCATTACGAACCATTAAAAAGGAGACAAAAATACAAATACAGAAATCTATCATGTGAAATAACCATAAATGTTTAAACTTCAGTAGAATATTTTGTGTTTATATAAAGAAACATCAGTGCTTTTGAAATATTCTCATAAATTAAAGGATTTAGCAGAATCTTATCACAGTATATAAACACACTAGGGCCGTCATGTGTACATTTAGGAAGTTATCTTTCCACTAAATTATTCTAAGATTGGGTTCCTAAAATATAGTTACTTTGACTGAGAGTAGCTTATATTTCTTTATATTTTATAACGCATTGTTCTGATTGAAGGCCTTGATGCACGGACAACAACCTCAAAAAACAAGGTTTAATTCAGCAGGGACTGCAACTACTGCAAGGAAGAAGATCAATGTATAGGAAGCTTTGAGCTGCAGATAACAACAACAATGAGATTTGGGGAAAAAAGGGGGTGTACAGTCTGCTCTTTTTAATAGATTTAAAAAATTTGCATTGCCAAAATATTTTTGCATTTGTATCCCGGCCTGTATCAAGACGTGTCAGAAGCAGACGGCTTTGGATTGCTGTGTTCCTAATTGATGGTGAATAATGCTGTCTGCCTCTGACGGACGACTGATGTTAATGAGGAGGTAAAGAGGGATTCCTGGTGATTTAAAACAACATGAATATGGAACAATTAGGAATATGGCTGCCGGGGTACTTTAAAGTTCACGGTGCGACATTGTTTTCCTAAAGATTGGCGTTCATATTGTGCAAAAACCCAACTTTTACACCTGCTTAAGTGTTTGTGTAATTGAAGGCAGATGGGTAAATGTATATCAACACATTGCCTCTTTTCTGCTTTGGTGTGTATACGATCCCTTCAGCGCTCAGCAGGGATGCTGCTCCACTCATCTCTCACTCTCTCACACACACAGGTTGGAGGGGCTTGTTAACATAACTTCAGTCAGACACTTCCGTTTAAAATGTATTTAAAGATTTAATTCCTCCAGTTTAAGAAATGCTTGACTGAGCGGGAAAGAGTTGATTAATGCAGTCGAGCCTGTCACTCGCGGGCTGCAGGCGGAGGGAATAAAACCAATGTTTTACTGCCAAGGCAAAACGGAGCTCGAATGTAAATAGCGGGGAAAGAGAGACAGAGAGGGTTTTTGTGTTTTTAAAGCTTCAAAACCGCTTCAACCCTGCGAGACACCGGAGACACGCAGACACACACCGACACGCCGACACCGCGGCCGCCTCCCTGCCTCAGCGGGGCTTTGATCAGAATGAAGCTTTTATGGGGAATGACTGGCGAATGCACCCGCTGCTGTCACTACAAATCTACCTCACCGAGCGCAGGGAAGTAGGGAGGAGAGAGGAGGGAAGGAAGGTGGGTACTGGGGGGGTTCAC